AAGCTATAAATGGGTTTTTGTCATTTTGTACTTATATTTTTTATTATTTGTATACTTTTTTTACTATTTTGTTTATTTGCATGTAAACATTATATCCACTTTAAGAAGACCAGGGCTTTTTTTTAGCAGAGTCCCTAGAGAATAAAATGGTGGTTGTTGCAATTTTTTTCTGTAATAGGATATTTGCGCGATGGTTTTTCAAACACCATTTTTTTTAGAAAAAATACACTAATGCATTTTAATGCACAAAAACACAATATAAAACCCATATGTTTGGTAAAATATAAAAGATGATGTTATGCCAAGTAAATAAATACCTAATATGTCATAATTTAAAATTGCACACGCATGTGGAGTTCTTCTGATGAGAGCAGAAGAACAAAGCAACATATACTGCGATATCGCATGCTTGTTGGAGAGACATTTGTCCTGTTCAGAGTCACCAGCGGATGCAAAGCAGACCCGGGTCGGTAAGATCATGCAACCTCATTTTAGTGTTGGCACCTATAGACTGAGGCCAGGCCTATAGTTAGTTAGTTAGGGTCTCTGTTTGTGTCAGGCCACAAGTGTTGTTACTGATCATTGGGAGGACTCCATAACGTAAAGTGACATTTCACATTGGAGAGCTGATAGAATCCCACAAACTCAAGCCAGACTGGCGTTTTGCTCAGAAGGAATACTCAGGCACGTGCTACAGGAGCAGTTATGGGAGGGGGAATACTGTAGATTTGTGTACGATTGTAAGCTGTTGTGCTGCACCGCAGGCTAGCCCATACCGTACACCCATACACTGATTCCTGCTCTTTTAGGGTAATAACAGGTAAGGTGTGGCAGCTTAGTTGTGCCAGCCAGTAGGTAAATTACTACTCTTTCTACCTTCATCATCAGAAGGTGCCGTGCTGTGCACTGTCAAGACCCAGCTGCCAAGAGAACGCATTTTTGCGTACAGTTGGCGCCAAGGAGTTAACACATATGAAAGAACCTACCACTTCAATATGCATTTTGATGTGTTTTTGTTGCATCGGTGATGCTTTTTTGAAGCTTTAATGATGCTTAGTAAATACCCTGTGTGTGTCGATTTTCTATTTGTTTTAAAGAGGCTCAAAAGAACCCCAGCTCAGTAGTACCCTCAGCCCAGTAATACCCCTGGTCAGAAGATCCCCAACTCATTAGTATTATACAGGTCATCTCTAAGGTATGCGAAACCGGAAGCGACAAGTATTTAATCACTTGTTGTTTACTGGCCATTACTGGCAAGGTAAAGCTTTGGATCTAACTGATGCAAGAGCAAGCGCAAACAAGCCCTTAATGAGACCTGCCTAGAGCTTGCATGCTAGAGATGCATATTTAAGTCATATGTAATATTTCACATTATAAATTCATTAGAAACACAATAGAATTTGTAATGACATAAATCAGGGCTTGAAATTTCCAATCTCCTGCTCACATTTGGCTAGTGAAAATAACATGTGGACGAGTGTGTCCCAGGCGCCGCATCGGAGGGTGGGGGGCGGGTGCTACCAGCAGCACCAACCTGCCCCGAGCACTGTGTTGAGGGGGGGTGCACTGCTGGTGCCGCTCCTCAGTGACCGGAGTGATCACAGTTTCACTCATGTCACAGAGAGCAGCTGCTGACACTTGCTGGAGGGAGGACTAGGCTTTCTCCTCCCTCCTGCCTGCAGGGGGCAATAGACAACCGGCACTAAGGAGTGAAGGCAGAGTGTCCTTCCTCTCTCCCCTTGTCATATGACTTATCACATGACCGAAGGAGAGAAAGAAGTAGAAGCTGCATTCACAAGAAGTGTGAGTACAAGGGGGAAGGGTGAGGTTAGACTTATTGGGGCACCTGATGTAAAGGGGGACTCTGATGGGGACATCTGATGTAAAGGGGGACTCTGATGGAGACACCTGATGTAAAGGGGGACTCTGATGGGGACACCTGATGTAAAAGGGGACTCTGATGGAGACACCTGATGTAAAGGGGGACTCTGATGGGGACACCTGATGTAAAGGGGGGCTCTGATGGGAACACCTTATATAAAGGGGGACTCTGATGGGGACACCTGATGTAAAGGGGGACTCTGATGTAGACACCTGATGTAAAGGGAGACTCTGATGGAGACACCTGATGTAAAGGGGAACTCTGATGGGGACACCTGATGTAAAGGGGGACTCTGATGGGAACGCCTTATATAAAGGGGACTCTGATGGGGACACCAGATGTAAAGGGGGACTCTGATGGGGACACTTATTTTCATTTTATGTTTACATTGTTTTATGTTAACCACTTGCCCTCTAGACTCTATTAATCTATTGCTGTTATGTTTAAATTTACATAATAAAGCTATGTTATAATTGCTGTTTTTTATATTTTGGACTCTTTATTCTAAAGAAAAATGTAATTTCATAAGGTTTAAGGGGGTGTGGTTGGGGGCAGGGGGCAGGGGTGGGTTGGAGGCGGAACTGGGCAAGGTTTGGTGGGGCAACTGGTGGAGAGTAAGGTTTTTGCCTGGCTAGTAGGTCTAGACTTGAAATTTTAAGTCCTGACATAAATGATATCCTTATTCTGAAAAAATAATCCATAAACATCCACTACTTAACAACTTCCAGTCCGGACACTTTCACCCCCTTCTTGTCCAGGCCAATTTTCAGCTTTCAGTACTATCACACTTTGAATGACAATTGCGCGGTCATGCAACATTGTACCCATATTCATTTTTTAGCATTTTTTTGAGACAGATAAAACTTTATTTTGGTGGTATTTATTCTCCACTGGGATTTTTATTTTTTTGCTATATAAATGAAAAAGTCCAAAAATTTTGAAAAAAAAACATTTTTCTTATAAAATTTTGCAAATAAATAATCTTTCTTCATAAATCGCGGGCAAAATTTATTCATCTATCTTTTTAGTAAAAAAAAAATTAAAATTACCCAAATTAGTTTATAACCAAAAATTATAATGTTTAATTTTTTTTTTTAGATTTGTATTTTTTTTATATTATTATTTATGTTTTGTTGTTGTTGACATTGTACTACTTGTGGGGGGGTGAAGATTTTTTTTTCTATTTTTACACTGATTGATTTTACACCCATAAAGGCTGTAAAAGCAATCATTTCTCCTTCTCCCTGGCTGCATTCCTGCAGCCATTGAGAAATACTGTGAAGCTGTGATTGGTCACAACTTGTCACACGGTACAAGGCTGTTGTGAATAGCCCTGTACCATGTGATCTCTGTGATCATTCACAGATTTCACATGTAGTAAGCAATGATGTCAGGAAGTGGCATCTTGTTTACTACTATTCATGTGATCACTGATTGGCCAATTAGTGATCACATGATTGGGACTTCACACAGAGGTCCCTTACAGCAATCGGTGTTCCGCTGTGTCTTCCGATTCTGCTGTGCCGCACAGTCCCAGGGAGCACGCACAGGCAGTGAACGTGGGTGACGTTTAGAAATGTCAACCCGCTTTGTCAGCTCTGTCTTCCGGCCGTTTATCTACATGGGCCGGACGGGAAGTGGTTAATAGACCTATAATCGATTTTTCATGAAATAGTTTTTTTTACTGTCTTATGTCTCCTTGTAATGTCCTTTGTGAGCTCTTGAATCTCTCCTATTCCCCCTTCTATTTGTTTGGACTGAGCAATGCATGTTAGTTGCGGACATGTACACTGCTCTATGCACACTGCAAATCCCATAGTCCATCTCAGGAGAAATCAACAGAGGGTGGCTACGTTCCTACATACAGTGGGGCCATGCAGACTTAATGTAGCCACCCTCTAAAAGGAAGGAAAATCACAGCAGCAGAAAAAAGAAAAGGAATTTGGAGGTTTGGAGGAGGATCAGAGCAAGAGATGAGATGGGAACCGGTTTTCTTCAATAGATTTTTTATAAACCAGAGTTTACTGTCACTTTATCTTTGAATGTGGGAATTTAGACCTGGTCTTGGGATGAGTTAAGCTCGTTACTGACAGTAATTATGGCTACCTTCCAGATGCTAAAGATGATGTTTACTAAGTGGTTAATCAGCATTTAGAAAATGGTCAGTAAATGCCTGATGGGCATCCCAACTGCTGGCACGCTGTGCAAAAAAAAGGAAGAAACAATACGCAAAGAACAGCTAACTCCTATGTAAACACTTGAAAACTGCTAACTGCCCCCGTTATTTTGAGTGTGGGTGGTTGGTAAGTGGTAATAAGAAGTTGATGGTCTCAAAAGGGTCTTCTGAGAGTGCCAAGCTTTACTAAAGGAGTCATTTTTTCACTCTGCTCACTTCACTTACCAAGTTCAGTCAAGGAAATTTTTTTATTTCAAAATGCTCTGCACATGATTAAGTGTTCTCTACACCTATAGATACATCTTTTATTAAAGCAGGATTAAAGCCAAAAACAGAAATGAGATATATTGCAGCTTACCAATGATTATATGTGGTGGCTGGTTTTCTCTTGTTAGGTTTTTTTCCTTTATTTTCACCTGGTGATCCAGCAAGTAAGTCTGTTATTTTTCAACATCCTTTAACCTCCCTAGCGGTATGATTATTTCAGATTTTTGGTGCTGAAAGCTTCACCATTATTTTGCATGGAAATTTGGTGTTTTATATTGTAGGCCTGTAATTCTTAGGAATAACTCACTGAAATCTGTCCGAACAAGAGTCTAGTAAACATCCCGGGTATGATAAAACTTGAAACACAAAATCATAAATTATAATTTATTAAATAATCATAAAAAATAATAATATAATAATAATACATTTTTATTCAATAATATAATCAAACCAAAAACACTGAAATTTGAAATATAGCGCCAAGTTCGCACATCGCTGAGCAAAGTCGCAGAATCGTTTTCAGTGTCTGATGACGAATTTCCCCACAAATCATTATCACTCAATTCTGCAAGTGGTTCTGATTTACTATCGCTGTTCTCTAGCTGGTCTAAAACCGCTTTTGACTTAAAGGGACGCTTTTTGGACGCCATGGATGTTTCTTAGTTTCCAGGCGATAAGAACAGTAAAAATGCAGGCAGGGCACAGGACAAAGCACTCGGGACAAAATGTATGTGAAATGGTTTGATACAGTAATGTTTTACTATGTGATTTTAGTGATTTTAGTGAATATCACTTTTTGTCATTTTCAAATTTCCCACCGTTCCGTCCCCCGTACATCCCGACGCTCGCAGGGGATTGAACCCAGAAGACAGATGACGGATTACATTGTCGGGGACACTGCAGGAGGGACATCACGGGAGCACAGGACAAGGTAAGTGCAGAAGGAATCGCGCAGCAGCGCCGCATGGTATTCCCGAGTGTAGCTCGGGGTTACCGCTTGTGGTGCTGAAACTTTACCCCGAGCTACACTCGGGAATACTGCCAAGGAGGTTAACAGACCAAGCTGTCCAGCAAAGGTGGTATTTAGAGGATTGAGACAAATTCTTTACCACTGACAGGGGTGCTTACAATGATCAGCTTTTGTTCATTTATGTAAAACCTTTATCCCAAAAGGAGAAAGCTATTGCTGTAACTTCTTATAAAGTGTTAGCTGGAGTTCAGGTTTAATTTGTTAGTCAAATCCATGTAAATCTACTACCCTCCCCCCAGATTGACAATGCTGTTGTATAAGGGTGGCTCTGTTGCTCCTTCACTGGACCGGAGACATCCCAAGATCACCAGGTGAAAATAAAGGAAAAAATGACCTGAACAAAAGAAATTGGATGCAACCGCCACGTAGCTTGCAAAGCGCTGTGGTGCGTAAACTTGAATGAAGTGTAATTTTCGGACATTTTAGCAAAGTTAAGAAAAAAGTAAGCAGACAGCATATGTGCTATACAGAATCATCTGGCACTGTACAGCAGTGCAGTGCATCGAGCTGCTATACAGCAACATGAATGAAGTGAACTTTTGCACACTTCAAATAAACTTTGTACAAAAAAAGGGAGCTGAATCGAGCACCACATTGCCCCCTACTGCAGTCCGGAACGGAGAGCTACCAGGGAGGTAAATCTCTCCGGCAGCTGTCCGTTCTTGTGTGAATTCACTCTAAGACTTTGCACAGCTTTTGTACCTGGGATGTACTTAGCCGATTTAATCCTTTCACTGTCATCAACATAAGACTTGCATTGGAAGCAGTGCAACCCCCCATCATGTTTCCCGAAATCTGCTATCCCACCTGTGGGCCCAAGACTGGTAGGTGTCCCTGGGTAAAGGTTAGGGAATGCCAACAAAAGTCTGCTTGCCGATCTCCCCTAGATAGAAAGAATGCAGAAGTGGAGTGTATTATGTCACTTCCAGTTTCAGCTGAACTTTCCCCAGGGAAGAAGCTAATAGAGCACAATCTGTGTTCCATGAGCTTCAGTGGAGGAGAGACATCAGGGGTCTAATAGACTATCACAATGGGCCTTGTCAGAGCAATAATTCTGCGGCTATCATTTATAGTTAATTCTAAACTAATGAGCTTTTAAAGTGTCGCATATGGACAATATTGTGTTTAGAAGTTTGTCTCCATTTCACATGTCTATGCAGATTTAAAGTTTGACGTGTTGGGTATCTAATCACTTATCTTCGATATTTTACCAAACACTTGGGTAATACACTGCTCAAAAAATTAAAGGAACACTTTTTAATTAAAGTATAGCATCAAATCAATTAAACTCATGGGATATTGATCTGGTCAGTTAAGTAGCAGAGGGAGTTTTTAATCAGTTTCAGCTGCTTTGGTGTTAATGAAATTAACAACAGGTGCACTAGATGGCCAACAATGACACAACCCCAAAAACAGGAATGGATTTACAGAAGGAAGCCACTGACATTTTTTTCCCTACTGATCTTTTCTGACTGTTTTTCACTAGTTTTGAATGTGGTTAGGGTTAGTGTCACTACTGGTTGCATGAGACGATACCTGGACCCTACAGAGGTTGCACAAGCAGTCCAATTCGACCAGGATGGCACATCAATACGTGCCATTGCCATAAAGTTTGCTGTGTCTCCCAGCACAGTCTCAAGAGCATGGATGAGATACCAGGAGACAGGCAGTTACTCTAGGAGAGCTGAACAGGGCTGTGGAAGGTCCTTAACCCATCAGCAGGACTAGTATCTGCTCCTTTGTGCAAGGAGGAACAGGATGAGCACTGCCAGAGCCTTACAAAATGACCTCCTGCAGGCCATTGGTGTGAATGTCTCCAACCAAACAATCAGAAACAGACTTCATGAGGGTGGCCCAACATCCCCTAATGGGCCCTGTGCTCACTGCACAGCACCAGAGAGCTTGATTGGCATTTGTGAATTCGCAGATCCACCACTGGCGCCCTGTGCTTTTCACAGATGAGAGCTGGTTCACCCTGAGCACATGTGACAGACGTGAAAGGATCTGGAGCAGCCATGGAGAACATTATGTTGCATGTAACATTGTTCAGCATGACCATTTTGGTGGTGGGTCAGTGAAGGTCTGGGGAGGCATATCCATGGAGGGACGCACAAACCTCTACAGGCTAGACAATGGCACCCTGACTACCATTAGGTATCGGGATGAAATCCTTGGACCCGTTGTCAGACCCTACACTTATGCAGTGGGTCCTGGGTTCCTCCTGGTGCATGACAATGACCAGCCTCATGTGGCGAGAGTATGCAGGCAGTTCCTAGAGGATGAAGGAATTGATACCACTGAATAGCCCCCACGCTCGCCTGACCTAAATTCAATAGAACATCTCTGGGATATCATGTTTTAATCTATTTGACGCTGCCAGGTTTCTCCTCAGACTGTCCATGAGCTCAGTGATGCCCTAGTCCAGATCTGGGAGGAAATACACCAGGACACCATCCGTCATCTCATTAGGACCATGCCCCGACATTGTTAGGCTTGCATACAAGCACGTGGGGGCCATACAAACTACTGAGTACTATTTTGAGTTGCTGCACTGAAATTTCAGCAAAGTGGACTAGCCTGCTGCATCATTTTTTCACTTTGATTTTTGGGGTCTCTTTAAATTCAGTCCTCTGTAGGTTGATAATTTTTTCATTTCCATCAAATGATGGGGCATCCTTAAGTTCTTAACACATTACCCCGTCCATATAAGAATAGATATCCAGCATGATATTTTTCCCCATTGAGATCTGATGTGTTTTCGAAGTGTTCCTTTAATTTTTTTGAGCAGTGTATATTGCTTTAAACTTTAGTGTATTTTTTTTTGCTAAAATATGCATTTGATAAACTGCTGCTAAACCATTGCACAAATATTATTTGGCATAAAAACTCATTTTCAGTCCTAAAGTGTGCATTTTAACGTGTGCAAAAAACAGAAGAACGGCCCTGGAAAATAGACCTAGGCCCTTAACCTCCCTAGCGGTATTCCCAAGTGTAGCTCGGGGTAAAATGTCAGTGCCAAAAGCGGTAACCCCGAGCTACACTCGGGCTTACCATGTGGCGCTGTATAGGGAGCCCTGCAGAGCTTACCTTGTCCTTCGCTCCTGCGATGTGTCCCCTGCAGTGTCCCCGGCCATCTCCTCTGGCCGATGCCGGCATCCAGCTTCTGTGTTCCGGTCCCTGTGACATCGGGACGTACGGGCGCCGCCGGCGGCAGGAAATTTGAAAATTTTAAAAAATGTCATTTTTTTCAAAACACATTTTTCATAGTAAAAACATTGCTGTTTCAACCCATTTCACATACATATTGTCCCTACTGCTTTGTCCTGTGCCCTGCCTGCATTTTGTCTGTTCTTTCTGCCTGGAAACTGAGAAACGTCCATGGCGTCCAAAAAGCGTCCCTTTAGGTCAAAAGCGGGTTTAGATCAGCTAGAGAACAGCGATAGTAAATCAGAACCACTTGCAGAATTGAGTGATAATGATTCGTGGGAAAATTTGTCATCAGACACTGAAAACGATTTTGCGACTTTGCTCAGCAATTATGAACTTGGCGCTCTATTTCAAATTTCAGTGTTTTCGGTTTGATTATATTATTGAATTAAATGTATTATTATTATATTATTATTTTTTTATGATCATTTATTAAATTATAATTTATGATTTCGTGTTTCAAATTTTATCATGGATGTTTACTAGACTCTTGTTCGGACAGATTTCAGTGAGTTATTCCTAAAAAAAAATACAGCCTACAATAAAAAACTACATATTTCCATGCAAAATAATGGTACCGCTTTCAGCACCAAAAATCTGAAATAATCATACCGCTAGGGAGGTTAAAGAAATAAGACAAATGTTATTATTTGTGTTTTAAGGGGAAACAGTTACAAATAACCAGTGATTTAATGAGGGCAACTTTACAAATATGCTTCTTCAATCTGAGTAGAGTGGAGAACCCACCAAACATATGCCTGTTCTAAAGCATCAATACATGTGAAAAGTTTTCACATAAAAATCTTCAACACAAACATCAATCTGATTTGTTGAATTAGTGAAACATGCCCCTGAAATTAATTAAAGCTGAACTCTAATTAATTAAAGCTGAAAAACTAAAAGTCCTCCCTTGCCATAGGATATTTAAGTCTAGGAGGTAAAGCAGTTTTTTGTACCTGATTCCCCACTCCTGCATGCTCCTCTGTGTCCCACTAGACCAGTCCCCAAAGCTTCCTCTCCCCTGCACTTAAAAAGTTGGATGCCCCTGGAATCATCAAGACTGATGAGAGGCCCATAGTCATGCATTATTCCTGAGGACCCCCAAGCGACAGTCCACTTCTTAACTTCATAACTAAGAGCTGTTTGTCGAGGGAGTGGAGGATCAGCTAAGTAAAACTGATTTTACTGTCCCCTAGATTAAACAAACATGGAACCCTTGCAGACCTCCCAGGTGTAGGTGAGGCTCAACCAGGGTACCAGTGTACCCAAGAATTGAGTAAACACATGTTAATACTTAAACTTTGTTTACTTATATTGTATAGAATAAATTATCACAGTAATAAGGCAGTTTACAGCTGTATCGCTACATACAGTATGTTGCAGGTCATACACTTCTTCAGGCAGAAGGAGCACTGTTTATCCACAAGGCACTTTCCAATAGTAATGTATTGGGCACTTACAGACCACAGAATACCAGAGGAGCTCTTATTCGGAGGGGGCTATGGTATTGCTTAGTCACACTGTGATCCTCAAATGTTCATGCAGATATCTGGCCATCAGTTAGAAATTATTCCAGAAAGATGACAGAGGAGATAACCTGTAAGCCTCTTTCCCTCCTCTACAGGTACTAATACTATTCCTACTCTCTCCCTAATCAGTGGGATCTCTGTCCCTATCTTACACCCACACTGAGGGCACGCTGAATGACACAGAATCTCCTATTTATGGAATTCTGAGTCAATATGGCTGCCCAAATCTCACAGGATT